ATCTCCCCAAGGAGGCCCCCCAAGAAGCCACCATCCTTCAAAAACCTAAGGAGAGCCAATGATTTTCGGCTTCTCGCCTTTTCGCTTCCGATGGCCATCTGAGGCCTCAACCTGGCTCCAAGAGGGGCCAAGGAGGCCCCAAGAGGGGCCCAAGAGAGCCCCAAGACGGCCCCAAGAGGGGTCCAGGCGGCTATTTTGGTAGCTCCCGATGGGCAGGGTTAATTAGGGAACCCCCGAAGGCGCCAAGATGGCCTCAAGAGGCCTCCAAGAGGCCCCCAAGAGGGCCCCAAGCGGCCCCAAGAGGCTCCAAGAGGCTCCCATGATAGTTCCAAGAGGCCTCCAAGAGGCTCCAAGAGGCCGCCATGAAGCTCCAAGAGACCCCCAAGAGGCCCCAAGAGGCCTTCAACAGGCCCCCACGAGCCCCCCGAGAGGGCCCCAAGCGGCCTCAAGAGGCCCCCCCGAAGCACCCAAGACGCCCAAGAGCCCCCATTGACCGCCAAGAGACCCCCAAGACGCCCAAAGAGGCTTCCAAAAGGCTTCCAAAGGGGCGTCCGAACGGCATTCAACCATCCACCCAGCGTCATCATTCTCCTCGTCGCTCCCTCGCTCGGTTCCTCGCCACCCCCCCATCTATCCATCTGGCCTCCTCTTCCGCCTCATCTTTTGCACGGATCGGCTGTCCCTCTCGTTGCCCCCCCACTTCCCTGATCTCTTCAACTTGCCTGGACATCGTTTCTGGATGGGCTGGTGGGGATGCGCGAAGCGTCAAGAATTGAGGGGGGGCGGGGCAGAGAGTGGAACGGGGATGGAGGAGAGGAGAAGGCGGAGGAGGATGGGGGGCAGGCGGAGAAGAGGAGACGGAAGAAGAGAAGGAGCTGGAGGAGGAGGGGAAGGAGGAGGAGGAGAGGCAAGAGGACATGGGAGGGGAAAGGAGGAGGAGGCGGAAGAAGAAGAAGAAGAAGAAGGGGACGCGAAGGACGAGAGGAAGTGGAAGGGATGGGGGGGGACCAAGAAGAGGAGGGGGGGACGCTGGAAGAGGACGGTCGGAGGGGGAGGAGAAGGAGGAGGAGGAGGATGAGTAGGAAGGAGGAGGAGGAGGGAGGCGGAGGAGGAGGAGGAGGCAATGGAAGAGGACGACGGAAGAGGGCGAAGGGACAGGGAACGAGGGGGGGCAGGAGGAGCAGGATGAGAAGGAGGAGAAGGAGGAGGAACGAGGAGGAGGACAAAGAGGATGATATGAGCGAGGAGAAGAAGGAAAAGGAGGGGTAGGAGGAGAAGGTGGGGGACGCTGATGAGGAGGCGGATGAGGATGAGGAGGGCGGTGGTGGTGGTGGGGGGGGGGGGGGAGGAGGAGGAGGAGGAGGAGGAGGAGGAGGAGGAGGAGGAGGAGGAGGAGGAGGAGGAGGAGGAGGCGGAGGAGGGCGGAGGAGGAGGAGGAGGAAGGAGGAGGAGGAGGAGGAGAAGATGAGGTTGAAGGGGACGGGAACAGGGAGTAGGAAAAGAAAGAAGAGGAGGACGAGGAGGAGAAGGAGGGAGGAGGGGGGCGAGCAGGGAGGAGGAGGAGGAGGAGGAGGACATGGCAGGGAAGGAAGCCGTGGACTGGGAGGCAGAGGAGGAAGAGGAGGAGGAGGAGGAGGAGGAGGAGGAGGAAGAGGAGGACGCAGCAGGAACACGAAAGAACTGCAGGAGGGGAGGAGCGGGAGGAGAAGGAGGGGGATGAGGAGGAGGAGGAGGAGGAGCAGCAATGTTTTATTTCTCCGGAGACAGCCGAATCACCAACACTCACAACAGCAGGATTGCGCCACCACGTGCAAATGAAGAATGCCAAGGTACCAAACCTGCAAGAGCGACCAGGAGGAAGGCAAACGGCGGAGAAACAGACGCAAGCAAAAAAAGCAGCGTGGCCACAACAACTCGGCCGACCCACCGTCGGACGCTTTGAACCCCAGCCCCCGCCAGGAGCAAGCAAAACACGCGCCAAAACAACGAGGCGGCACAGGAGGGAGGAAGCGAGAGACGCGCGCGCGACCCCAGTCAGCGCAGGGCGTAAAACAGCGCAGGCATACCTGAGTGGGAAGAGGAGGAGGAGGAGGACGAAGAGTAGATATCCTTCTCTTGCCCTTGCTCCTTCTCCTGCTCCTCCTCCTCCCCCTTCTGTTCGTCCTCGTCCTCAATATCCTCTTCTTCACCCATCCAGTCACCCGCGTCGTCCACCTCCTCCTCCTCCTCCTCCTCCTCCTCCTCCTCCTCCTCCTCCTCCTCCTCCTCCTCCTCCTCCTCCCTCCCCCCTACTCCTACTCCTCCTCCTCCTCCTCGTCCTCCTCCTCCTCTTGCATATTATAATTCCCCCCTTCCCGCTTCCTTCTCCTATTCCCCCCTCCGTCTCCCCAACCTTCCATGCCCAATTCTTCCTGTTCTTCTCCTCATCCCCCTTTTCCTTCCCCCCTCCTCGTCCTCCTCCCCGTCCTCCCCCCCGCCCTCCCCTTCCTCGCCGTCCTCCTATTTTTCGTCCATCACCCTCCTCATGCTCCTCTTGGTATTCCTCCGCCTCCTCCTTGTCCCCGTCCATCTTTCATGTCCTCTTCCGTCCCCTTTTCCTCCTTTTCCTTCTCATTATCCGCGTCTTCCTCCTCCTCCTCCTCCTCCTCCTCCTCCTCCTCCTCCTCCTCTTTTCGTCCTGACGGAGCGCATAATATGTTGCCTGTTATGTCGTTTGCTGCCGTTTGCTGTCATTTGCTCCGCCCGGGACGAACGACCATTTGAAAATAGGCTCCCATGAGTTGCAATCTAAGGTCCTGGGGCCCTGGAAGGGCTCCCAGAGTCTGAAACATGGCCAGGATCTGCTTCCGCCCGGCCCCCACTCGCACGTGGATGCGCAACCGAGGTTCGCCCCACTGCAACCCGCCTACCGCCGATTTGTTTGTTTGTTTTTCCTCGCACGTGGCTTCCGTCCGGCCCCCACTACTGCACGTCAACCATCATCCTGATGCCCATCGGCGCAGATCCGCTCCCAGTCTGTCCATGTGCCCCGTCCTGGGGTCCAGCCTGACCTGCTCCTTCGAGCTGGATCCAGCCGCAGTGGCGAGACGCCCCCAGGATTATGTCGGGCGTGTCCCCCTACAGAGGGATTTCGACGAAAAATAAAAAGTACACCCAAAATACCTCAAAAAGGTCAAACGATACCCAACAAATAGTCCCCCGACTGTTTTTTGACTACGTTTGGACAATTTTTTGCATTATTATTCATTTTTCGTCGAAAAGCCCCCTGTAGGGGGACAGGCCCGACTTAGCCCCAGGAGGACGCAACAAGCACGAGCAGGCCTCGGGAGCTCGTCTCTGAAGGGGCCCCAGGACACACAAATAAATACACACACATAAAACTATCCCTCATATTTTCCCATATGTTCTGGGTTTTTGTCCCCCCCCCACTTCCCATAGTCTCCCATATTTTCTGGGGAACCGACGATTAATGGTGTCTGTGTTTTTTCCCCTCCTGAGTCTCCTCGGGACCCCCCTCCTCCACGGCGCGCCCCCGCAGCTTCCGGCGCCCTCGGCGGGCGGCCTTCCCCGTGGCAGGCGATCTCGGGCCGTGCGCCAGGCAGGGGGGGGGCCACCTGCGAGCCCTGCCCCTCCCCCCCACGACTTCTGCGGGGGGGGGGGGGGGTCACGCCGCTCGGGAGCCCTCGAGCCGAGCGGACCCCACCCTCCCCCCCCCAGAAATCGTGGGGGCTACAGTCATCGGCCTGACCTCAGGAAGGACAAATCAGGAACGAAGCCGCTTTTTGATCCCAATGAATAACGCATGCGGAACGATACCTGACAAATAACGCATAAGGAACTGTAAATAACGCATGCAAAATCTAAGGAACGACCGAGCTCCTTTTGAAAAGTAAGTGTGCCGTATTCAGGCCGCTCACTGTACCAGTATTGGGCAGGGCTCGCATGTGGCCCCCAACCAGGATGCAGCACAACGCAGGGCACCCATCGGATCGTATCGTTGGATCGTCGGAGCACCGACTCTCGACGTCGCTTCCCTGTGTTTTTTTTCGGTTTCGCGCGTGGTTTTTTCGCCAAATGATCAAGGATGCTCCTTGATGGTCCTTGCCGAAGGAAAAATGCACACGTCCGAGCGATGCCAAGGGCAGGGCTCGCATGGGCCCCCCCGCCAGCATGCCGAGCAGCGCAGGGCAAACCTCGGGCCCCACTCGGATCGTCGGGGCACCGGGCTCTCGAGTGTTGGGAGCGAGCCGGCCGACGTCGACGCCGAGCGAGGCGGAGCTCCCAGAGGGCGGGGCCGGGGGCGGCGAGAGGGTCCGCGGAGCAGAGGAGCAAAGGGGGGGCAGGTACCTTACGGGAGGAGGGAAGGGGAGGGGAGGGGAGGGGAGGGGAGGGAAGGGAAAGGAAGTGCAGTCGTCGTGCTATCATGGTCAGCGCCGAAACAGGAAGGGGAGGCCCTTCAGGCCACGGCAGGACCCGGCAGGTCCCACAACCCAGATCCAGGGAGTGGCCTGCAAACAAAAGCCCCCCCCAAACCCAATGTGGTCCTCAAGTCAGCGTCTTGACAGTATGGGGAGGAGGAAGAAGAACGGCAGCGAGAGAGGGCGGGAAGTGAGAAGGAGGAGGAAGTCTGAGAAAGCAAGGCTTCTCAGAAGCCCTCAGGCCTTCTGAGACTTCTAGATTCGAGCCTCGGTGGCTACGGTTCGCAACACATTCACGCTATGGCGCATTATTGCATACCTGCGCACCTGAAGTAACTCATGCAAATCATGTGCAAGCACGAACTGCATGGGCAACTATGCTCGACTCAAGTGTGATAACAAACTAACGCCCTTCCCGTAAGGCAGGGCTGGACCTAAACAGTGTCGTTCGGGTTCGTGTTGTTTCCGTTTCCCCTCGTTTTGCCTCGAAATCGCCTTCGCGGCCAACTGACGCCAAGACGAGCACGGCCCACGACATCGCCAAAACACCGCTCGGGCCCACCCCTGCCGCGAGGGGGACTCCTGGGGGACGTCGTACACGTCCCTCTTCAGCGGGCGCGTGAAGAGGCGGAAGACCCAGTCGGGCTGCCCAACCTGCAGAGCGCGGGGGGGGCACCGCGGGTGTCCGCGGGCGCCCCCGCCCTCTCCCGCCTCCCAGAACCACCTCCTGCCCGCTCTGCCACAGGGCGACGAGAGCTGCAAAGAATGGCAGCTGCGCCGCCCCAGGCCAGGCCCGCTCTGGCCATCGGCGGCGAGCCCGGGAGGGGCACGGGAAGGGGCGGGCTCTCGGCACTCTCGGAGGTTCCCCCGCCTTCTGCCAGGTTTGAAAACCTTCCCCGCAGGCACAGAAGACCTCTCGGAAGGGCGGAGGCCTTCTGGGAAGCCCATCCGCCTTCTGAGACACCTGTCCTCTGACAAAACCATCCCCCTCCCCACCCAACCATTCCTCCTCCTCCTCCCATCCCTCCCCCTCCCCCTCTTCCTCCCCCTCCCCTCTCCCCTCCCCCTCCTCCTCCCCCTCCTCCTCCTCCACTTCCTCCTCCTCCTCCACCTCCATCACCGCCACCTCCTCCTCCCCCTCTTCCTCCTCACCGTGGCCGTTCTGGCCCGGGCTGGCTCGGGCTCTGGCCCGCTAGGGACCCCCCCCAGCCACCTCCGCCCCCGAGAGGGCGGAGGGGGGGGCCTCCAGAGGCGGGGCGGCCGGTGGGCTTCACAGGAGAGGCAGGGCTGCGTACCCATCGGTCGGAAGAAGTGGGTGGAAACACGAAGCAGGAAGACGTTGGAAGCAGGTTGCGCTCCTGCCCGCCCCATGAAGAAGCAGGACGAGGAAACACGCTCGACCCCTGGACTCGCGAGGCGCCTCAAGGTAGGTTGGGAGATGGGGCTCCCATTGCACTAGAGAGAAAAGCCTTAATCCGTGGATGGTTTTCGCTGAGGAGATCGACCAAAACCCCGGGAGCCCCAAGCCCACCGAGATCGGCCCGGAACCCATGACCGGGAAGCCGGAAGCCCGGGACCTGGAACTTGGGAGCCCAGCCTGCTGCCGACATCGGCGGGGAACTTCCGCCAGATCTTTCAGCCTCCGCTATAGGACCCCTTCCGTGCGAGCACGGATTGGGGAGAAACACATTTCCCCTCCACGTGGTGGGCGGTGGGGGGCAACTGCGAATATTTAGACTTATGTCGGGCGGCCCCCCCTACAGAGGGATTTTCGACGAAGAATAAAAAGTACCCAAAAATACACGAAAAAGGTAAAACAGATTCAAAACATAATCCCCATTTTGGATTATTGTTTGAACGATCCGTGCGGTCTAGGAAGCCGCCGCCGCCATCGCCGATGCGTGCGTGGACCTGCCGCAGGCAGGCGCACGGGCGCGCGCCGAGAGGGGAACTTCCGCCAAGTCTTTCCACCTCCGCCATACAGTCGAGGCGTTGACCTAAGGAACCCTAAATAAGGAACGAGGCCCCTTTTTTTCCATAAGTTAAACTTCGACTCCCCATCGAAAACTTAAGGAAAACCTTAGGCAAAGTGTGGAGCAATTAAGGAACACCGAGCCCCTCCCCAACGAACAGGGTTCCTTCTTCAGGGCCCCGACTGTAGGACCCCTGCCGTGCAAGCGCTGGCTGGGGAGCAGGTGTACAGGCTTCCGGCGGCCGGCGGGCGAGCACGATAGCGCCCTCGCGAAGGTCGGAAACCCGACGCCCCTCCCTCTCTCGGGGCGGGCGCCCGCGCGCGTGTTGCCTTCGCGGCGGGTCTCCGCGTGCGCCTCGGCGAGGGCGGCCTGTGGCCTCCAAGGCCGCACGGATCGTCCACCCTGGAGCTCGTGTCGAAATTCAAGTCGGGCCTGTCCCCCTACAGGGGGGATTTTCGACGACAAACAAAAAAATCCCCAAAGCAATCAAAACATAATCCAGAATGGGGACTATTTTTTGAGTATTGTTTGACCTTTTTGGTATATGTTTGGCGTACTTTATATTTATCGTCGGAAATCCCCCTGTAGGGGGACACGCCCGACACAAGTCTAAATATTCGCAGTTGCCCCCAACCACCCACCACGTGGAGGGGAAATACGTTTTTCCCCGATCAGTGCTTGCACTGAAGGGGTCCCAGCGGACGTTGAAAGATTTGGCAAACGATTCCTGCCGATGTTGGTAGCAAGCTGGGTTCTCAAGTTCGCGGTTATGGGTTCCCGGGTTCCTGGTTATTGGTTCCGGGCCGATTTCGGTGGGTTCTGGGTTTCCAGGTTCCTGGGCTCCCGGTCGATCACTTTATCGATCTATTATCGATCCCACGATGCATTCTCGATCTCATGATCGATCTCCCTAATTAATCATCTCAACCAATCGATCTCGCCATCGTTCTCATCAAACAAACAACTGATTGGGGATTCTCTCTGGTTCAATTCACTTAATGATGTGATCTCCTCCGCTGGTTGTCATTATTCCTTTTCGCGAGGTTGCTTTGTTGACTTACCTTTGAACGTTGCATCCTTGACTTATCAACCGAATTCCAATTCAAGCTCGATCGGACTCCTCTGAACATTGGATCTGCTCCAATATTATTGCCTTCCGATGGGTTCCTTTTCAAATCACACTGGAATTTTGAAGCTGGGACCTCTCTCAATTCCTACTAAATTCAAAAAACAAATGCAAATCCAGCGATGATCCTCTGAATATGAGGTCTGGTCCATGCCTATCGAGCTCCTAATTGGACTCCAATTCACAACCAATTGCAAACCCATGACTCTGGTTGTTGCTCCATTCCTTGTGCATGCCGATTGGGCTCCCCTTCGAAGTCATGTGCAACCCTCTGACCCATGAGCCTGCATCCAATCCTATTGAACCGCAGTTGGCCGATTCCGTGATATCCTATTGGCATCCTTTGGGTCTGGCGTCATAGTGAGAGAGTTCCTGTTGGATGCGCAGTCGGATCCAACAAGAGGCACGCGTGCTAAGGGTCATAGAATCACGGGTGCGGAAGCAGAGGGGGGGGCGTTGGCGCCACGCTCCGACAGCACTGGGCAAGTGCGCGAGTGCTGCGACACGCTGGCGGGCGACCACAGGGAGGCTGGATGGGGACTGCAGCACGGCTCCCGAGGCTGCGCACGCGGCTTCGATCTCGAGGCGATCTCGGTGTGGAGGGCGAGGCCGGTGGGGTCTCCACGCAGCGGAGCGCCGGGCCCCGGTAGGGACGGGATGGCAGACGCAGCAGAAACAGCGGCTGGACGTCACCAGAACGCCCCCGACGAGTCCACTGTCGCCCAGCGCTGAGGAGCGAGCGCGTGGCGCGTCGCTGACGAGCCGCATCGCAGCATCGAGGGGCGTCGGATCCGTCGAGGGCATGGCGATGGAGCGTCGGCGGGAGCTGAGCGAAGGGGGCGAGGGAGGGAACGGATGCAGGAAGGGAGGGAGGGAGGGAGGAGCGAGGAGGGAGGCGGGGGAGGGAGGAGGGAGGAGAAGGGAGGGAAGGGAGGAGGAGCGGGGGCGGGGGAAGGGGGGGGGAAGGGGAGGGGACGCCGGACGATTGGGGCGGCCGGAAGGAAGGAGCCTCCAAGAGTCGGAGGGTCGCTGGGGTGTAGAAGCCTCGCAGGGGGGATGGGCCTGCAGGAGGTGCGGGGGGGGTGGCCGGACGGCCGGAAGGAGCCCCCAGCTGGGCGCGCCGGGGAACGGGAGGGGGGGCCTCCGGAAGATAAGACGGTTGGAAGAAGCTGGGCAGGAGGGCGCCAGACGGTCGGAGGGAATGCCGGGCCTGTCCGGAACGACGAGTCTGCACGGAGGGCGCCTCCGCGCCCTCCCCATGCCCTCTCTCCCCCCACGCCTCCCCTGCTCCGCCTTCTCCGTCTCCTCCTTCTTCCCCCCCCCCTCCTGATGCTCGCAGAGATGGGGGGGGAATCGAGTTGGGGAGGGAGGAGGAGGAGGAGGAGGAGGAGGAGGAGGAGGAGGAGGAACTGCTATCCTGTAACGCTCCTCCTCCTCCTCCTCCTCCTTCCGCTGCCCCTGCGCCACCGGCCAGCACGACCAGGTAAGGAGGACGGGGAGAGGAGGGGGCAGGAGGACGAGGAGGAGAGGATAGGTAGGTAGGTAAGTAGGTAGGCAGGTCGGCGGTAGGCAGGTGGAGGAGGAAGAGGCGGAGGAGGAGGAGGCGGGAGAAGCGGGAGGAGCAAAGGGAGCGGCAGGAGGGCCACGGTGTGCAGGAGGCCGATCGCGTGCGAGGGCCGACGCCGGCGGATGAGGGCGGAAGCCGCACGGATTCAAAGAGGGCCCTGGGCACGCAAAGGCGAGGCCAGCATGAGGCAGGGTCAGGAAATTAGTCCCCCTCAACGTGGCTCGTCCTCCACCCACGGACCGCCAACACTTGGCGTCGATGACCCAGGGCCGATCAATGCGAGGGAGGGAGGGGCCCCAAAAGAACTCCACCTTGGCGAGGCCGAACCAAGAACTGGGCATTGTCCCGAGAGAGGGCTCCTCAACCGGCACAGAAGGTGGTGCGCATAATGAGGAGGACAGGGATGCGCAGGACGAGCAAGAGGAAGAGCAAAAGTGGGATCGGCAGCAGGAGGACGATGAGGACGACGAGCAGCGAGGAGGAGAGAGGACGATGATCAGCTCGAGCCCGAAAACTGTCTCCTACAACGCGTGGATGGTTCAACCTTGACTGATCGTGGCTCGCCGACACCTTGGAACGTTCGATACCGGTCGATTCCGAACCACAGTCGACGTTCAACCTTGAACGCCCGCGATGGCGTCGCCGCCGCGTCGACACGACACGAATCGTCACGAACCTTCCGTACGCTAAGGCAGGAACGTCTTCAGGCCACATGCCCGACTGCATCTCCTTCCACACGGGATGATCATGCTTCACCCTCCTCCTCATCTTATGCTTGTCGTTCAATTCCATCGGCGGGGGCTTGTGCTTGTCGACGTATTCTTTCTCAGACTGTTCGTCCTGAGCAGTCCGGGTACACGTGGAGCTGAGAAGAACGGCAGTCGCAAGTCCATGGGGCTCAAATTGTAGCAATCTTCGCGCTCAGAGGTTCTGGCTCTTCTCTTGCTGCGAACGCTTGCCACGGCACCTTTCCCCAAGAACGGATTCCAATTCACACAACACCTTGAAAGAACCCCTTCACGATCGCAACGATGACAATAACGTTGCCGTGGGGATCAGGACCAACACGCTACCGAATGGCATGCAGACAACACGGGGTGAACAGCGCGCACGGCCGGGAACCACCAGCAAGAGCTGCAAGGCACGATCCGCCTCTGCGGCGCGGGTACCGCCCTCCCGCGAGAGGCACTCATGGATGTGGGGCCGCGTGCAGCACCTGCAGTCAAATCCTTGCAGCAGTAAGGCCACTGTTACACACGGCCGAGGCCAGCAACTCTGAACCCCAGCACGTCGATTTCTTGCGTACGACTGCGCCGCCGACCGCCGACCCTGCGCCGACGAACCCGCCGCCGTGTTACTTCCGCTGCCCTTCCGCGGGCGTACCCTGCGGGCGAGACGCGCCGAAAGCGAAGCTGTGCTCGGAATGCCCTACAGTAGGAGCTTGACCACAAGAAACCTTCCACAAGAAACCAAACCCTGAGACTTCAAGACGTCCATTGATTTTTGGTGTGGGAATGTCACGCTGTCCATCGCAGAACCATCGAAACCCAGGGCACCCTGGAGCCCTGGAGGCAAGCATGATGTTTCTTGGCATGGGTATCAACTGTACGTAGGCCCCTCCTCGGAAGACATGGGCATGTGCGACTTCGGCTTACGAGGTGCCTGTGGTCACGGAGAACTCCCCAGAGAGCCACAGGGAAGGGCGGTAGACTGCCACGTCCTGCTTCCTCCTCAGGTTGCAGCTCCTGCACTGGCAGATCCTCTGGTCAAACCTCCCTACAGCCCAATGCGGCTTAATCACTCGAAGGTATTGATCAACCCCAGCTTAGAAATCTGCTCACTGGCCAGCGATCGGTAATGTACGTGCCCCATTCGGATATTTTGTGTTTCCCATTTGGAGCTTGTGCGGCCTGGCGAGGGGCCGGATGGGTATGACTGTGGCACACGATGGCACTTCAACTGATAATAATAACCCGAGGCTTCTTCTGTGAGTTCTAAATTATCTGGCAACGTGGCAAGGCAAGCACCGATGCAAATACGCATTGGAAGAAGATACGTCATCACACAAATCGTAGAAGTCGCAACGATAGTCGTAATAGTGGCGGTTGTGGTTGTAGCTGCAGTGGTAGTTGTAAGAGTTGGGGGAGTCGTAGTAGTGAGTGTGACAGTCGTCGTCGGTGTAGTAGGAGTATTGGTGATATGACGACGAATGCGAATACTAGTACCAATCATGTCATAAGCAGATGTAGTGGTAATAGTAGCCTTTCTAGAAATGGTCTTAAGCAGAGACCCCCTATGGTGGCACCACTAGTAGCAATAATAATCGGTGGTTGGATCAGCCTAAAAAGAGTAACGACGGGACTTATACTTATTGTTGATAGTAACAAGCGCATCATCTGTAGCAGTAATAGTAGAGGACGAAAAACAAGAATGATGAATGCAAGGGGTAATCGAACCCGTGTTTATGTGGGTGGTCGTGACACCAACAACACAGAAGAGGCCCTGATGAGTTCCCAGGAGGTTCGACAAGGCCCCAATAAGCTCTGAACATGCCTCAAGGCGAATTTGATGGTACTCCATAAATTCTCTTTTAAAGACCGAAAGAGCTCTGATGAGGCCCAACCCTGTTGAAAAAGCCCTAAGACACTTAGAACATGCCCCAATACACTCTAAAGATGGCATTGCAGAGAAGAAGCTCTGATGGTGCCCATGGCGCTACTCAGAAGCCCAAAGAGACCCTAGTAGCTAGAACCAGCTCCGCCCTCACCGCACCTGGCCATACAAGCACCCACCCGGCCGAACAACACACCTGGTCACACAAGCACCTTCTCTCCCCGAAGAACTCCAGGGAGCTGCTGACGGTGGGGATTCCACATCGTCATCATCATCATCACCATCATCATCAACATCATCATCATCATCATCATCATCAGCATCAGCATCATCAGCATCATCATCATCATCATCATCATCATCATCATCATCATCATCATCATTATTATCATCGGCAGCATCATCATCATGATCGCCATCATTATCATCATCAGCGTCATCATCATGATCCTCCTCCTCCTCCTCCTCATCATCATCATCATCACAACCATAATCGTCATCATCATCAGCGACTTCATCATCGGCATAATCATCACCCTTCCTCTTCCTCCCTCTTCCCCTTCTTCCCTTCCTCCTTCCTCCTCCCCCTCCTCCTCCTCACCTCAACGCCACGCTCCTCCCTCCTTCCTCCGTCCTGGCGCTGATGCTCTCATACCGCCACCACCATCACCAGCGTCCTCCCCAGACACGCGCCGTCCTTGTCTGTCACCGCGCGCTCGCCCGAAAGACTGGTGCTTCATCCCGAATCGCTTCCTTTGGCGGCCCGGGGGCCCGGCGACGGGCCCCATGCAGAGGCCGAACACGGCGAGGGACCTCCTGTCCGGCTGTCCTCATGACGCGAGCATGTCTCGGCCCCCCAGCGGTCCGTTGATGTTGCTCCCATCGTACTTCTCGGGGGCCAGATGCGAACCCTACCCCTACCCCCCACGACTTCTGAGGGGGAGGGTGGGGTTTCCTTCGCTCGGGAGCTCCCGAACGAAGTGAACCCCACCCTGGGGTAGGGTTCGCATCTGGCCCCCTAACTTCAGGACCACGCCCCCAAAATAAGCTCGAGCACCCAGAAAAGGTATCGTAACGGCATCCAGCGAATGCCGCCTCCCAGGGCCCGACGCGGGAAGACCCTCCGGCTTCGGTGCTGCCGTGGTGCTCGACATCCTTCCCGGTGCTCACGGCCAAGTCTGGGTCCCCCTCGGCCCACCCCGCGGACCTTCCGGCCCCCCCATCTCGGGAGCGGCCAAGAGGGGGGTGTCCAAGAGGGGTGTGTGCAAATCAGGCATGTGCGCGGCCCAGCGGGGGGCCTGGGACGTAATGGAATAAGAAGAGGCGCCATGAGATCTGGGGAAGAAGGCGCCCAGGAGGCCCCAAAAAGGCCCCAAGAGGCCCCCAAGAGGCCCCCAAGACGCCCCAAGAGGCGCCCAAGAGGCCCAAAAGAGGCCCAAAAGAGGGCTCAAGAGGCCCCAAAACAGCCCCCAAGAGGCCCCAAAACTCGGCTAGCCCACAACGGTGCCACAATATGGGCCGGCGGAATGAGCGAAGCGATTAAATAAGAAGAGGCGCCATGAGATCTGGGGAAAAACCATGGCCCCGCGCCATGATATCCACCCCCCCCTAGTCATCACCCCCCTCTTTTCCGCTCCCGACCATCCGCGGCGCACCCGCGGTCCTCCTCCGGGGTGATCGGCCTCGGCCGCCAAGCGCTCTCGGGCGCGCTCCGCGGGCTGGCGCTCCCCGCGGCGGCTCGCCGCGGGGAGCGCCCGCGAGCGAGGATCCGCCCTGCTCGGATCCCTCCTCCTCCTCCTCGCCCTCCTGCTCCGCCTCCCCCTCTGTTCCTCCTCCCTCCTCTGTCCTGCTCCTCCTCCTCCTCCTCTTCCTCCTCCTCCTCCCTCCTCCTCCCTCCTCCCCTTCCTCGTCCTCCTCCCGCACCTCCTCTCCAGCCACGGTGGCTCGAATGGTCCCCTGCAACGCCGCTCGGCCGTCGCCCCGGGGCTCAATTTGTGAAGGTGGGATGGTGCCGCTTGAACTCATGGCGCTCCAGGCCACGCCGGTCTGAACTCGCTCGTGTCACCCTCCGTGTGCATGGAGGGTGCGGTTGTATCCTCTGGGCCACGACGCGCCTTGCGCCCCCGTCCTGCCCTCCCCCCTCCGCCATAGCGTAACGCCCCCCCCCCTCAACCGGTGCGTCCCCAGCAGTGCCGCAGTGCGTCTGGCACCAGTCTGCGGTGCCAGACTCACACGGCGGAGGGGGAGGGGTACGTTCGCCCTCTCACCCACCCCGTAACGCCCGTTGTCGCTGCGAACAAAAACATGTTCGGTGCTGCTGCTCGCATTTTTCGGTGGTTCTCCTCGTGCTCATGGGGCGGAGCTTCCTGGTGGGCGGGCTGCGGGGCGTGCAGGTGTTCCTTGTGGCCGTCGGCACCGGTGCGACGCTCGTGATCTTGGGGTCCCGGGGAGCGTCTGCATTGTGGACTTTGGCGTCGTAGTGTACTTTGAGTATCGTTTAACCGATCCCCATCCCCAGCGGCGTGGCCTGGGCCCCACTGGCCGATTTCCCCCCCTTGATGGGAATACAGGCCGTTCCCTTAGGGTTTCGAGGGGTGTATCCCCAACTGCGGGGGTAATTTGGCGGGAATATCGAAGGGGATGGGGATGGGGATGAGGATTGGTTAAAGGCTACCGATATTTGGTGGTGCGCATCGGATTGTTCCTCGCGTGCGTTGCTCCTTGCAACTGCAGGTCCTCTAACCATCGCCGTGCAGTGCCTCGCGGCCGACCGTGGCGTGTGGGGCTGCGGGTGCTACGCGCGTGCGGTGAAGGACCGCCAGAGGCCCGCCCGACGGCCCTCGCCTGTCGACCGGTCCAAGGTGCTTATGCGCTGCTATCAGTGGGAGTTTACAATGCCGCGTGGCAACGTCCAAGCCGTGGCTTCTCCGTTTGTGTCTCGGTGTTGGAGGATTTCGTTACCGATACTTGGGCGGTGCTGTCTTGCCGTGGGCTGTGGGCGCCATGTGCTTCACGTCAACCTTGTCAAACACGTCCACTTCCACGAGTGCCGTCCCAGGAGCGCTGCGGGAAGTCGAACACCAATTATCCTGCTCGTGGCGGCATCATGGTGAGCGAGGCCCCCGCGACCGAAGCGGCCACCAAGGACTTGCTGCTCGGCGTAGCTGATTTGCTCGCAGCAGCGCCCACGCGGAGGTGGGGGATGGGAAAGTAGAAGAGGCAGGCCA